TGTTCTAAATGGAATTCCATAAAAAAAATTATGAAATTGGAGATATCTTTTTAAAGAATTATAAATAAATTCTAATTCATAGAATTGCACTGATGAAAATGGTGTATGGTATTTTGATCATTTCTTGTGCCAAAATGACTATCAAGGGTGTGTTTGTAAACCAAATATATCAATCCAAATTAATTCAAACTCAAAATTTAAATTAACTTTAACTCAACTCATCCACTCACTGTTTCAATATTATTAATATAATTAAATAATAACAATCAATTAATTATTTTTACACTTCACATCAACTTTAATTGGTTATTCATCCACTCATACGTAATTTAAAATTTTTAACTAACCATCACTTCATATCATTTCTCTCTTACTTTTACATCAAATCTATCTAACTTTAATTCATTTTATGTTACATATTATTTTAATATAAACTTAAAATTCCACTAACAACTAATTATACTATTTTTTTTTCTAAATTAATCCTAGTTAACTAAAAAAACTCACTTTGAATGAATTTATTGGTTTATCGTACACACCCTAAACCAATTTTTTGCCTATATTATATCTTTTTACAGAAAAAAATGTTAAAAAAAGCGTTTTTTTAAAAAAAACTTATTATTGATTTTTTTCCCTCTCCTTTTCGAAGGATCAAAGTATTGAAAAATATTTGCGAATCATTTCTTTATATAAAACTCGGAAACTATCATATTACTTTTGTTTGACTACTTTTCTATGGAGAATGCTACAATCCCGTTACGGGATGGTTCCGTTGTATTTTTTAAGCATAGATTATCTACACATTACTAAATTATATGTATATCTACAGCTACAAAAGACGACGGAACCATCCCGTAACCAGATGGTAAGATTCTCCCTTTTCTATACTATCAAATGTTCACTCCGAATTTCACTTTAGAAAGTAAAATGAAATCAAATAGTGCAGATTTGGCCTAAAGAGTAATGTTCCCTACCCAAGGTGGACACATATTAATATGCCCACCGCTTATGTGGCATGTACATATTGGTGATGTTAATATGTTTAAAAAAATACATTACTAATGTGTGCATGCCACATAAGCTGGGCATATTAACATGTGTCCACCATGAGTAGGGTAACATTACTTTTGGCCTAAATGTGCCTAATTTGTCTGTTTCAAATTAAAGANNNAAAAAAAAAAAAAAAACACAAGGAAAGACCAGAAAAAAGAAAAGAAAAAGTTGAATTCGGTTACCTTGCAACTTGAAGCACTCGGCCTCCGTCCGGTCCACGAACCCGACAGCGTAATTCGGGTCGTCAATCGCCCGCAGGACATACTGCTTCCGGCCGAGGAACTGGTCCCCGGGCACGATGCACGCCTGGAGCTCCGCAAATTCGTCGGAGCCCCGCCTGACCCGGACCCGGATCGACGTCTCCTTGTTCTTGTACGCACCGTGGAGGATCTTTTGGACCGCCGATTTGCCGTTTCTGAAGGGCGATTTCATGACCATGTTCCCGATCCGCAGCTCCTCCACCACGTCACCGGTCTGGAGCATGTCGCCGGACCACTCGCCCCCGCGCGAGCTGCCTTTCAAGCACTCGATGGAGAGAACCGCCGGCGAGGTGGCGGGCTTCGCCGGCGAGGAGCTGGACGAGGAGAACGGCGACGAGGTGTCGGAGGAAGAGGAAGAGTAGGGCGGTCCATCCATGGGCACTAATTGTTTTGTGACCAATCTATTGGGTGATGTTTCAGAAGGTTCGGCAGAAAAGGAAAGGGCATTTATGAAAAGCGTCTGAGGTAGATGAGGAGATGAAAGATCGGAGAAAAAGTGGTGTGATCAGCCGATTGGGTCTTTGATTTTTCTAGAGAGAGAGACAGAGTGAGGAGGAAAATGGAGAGGGAGGGAAAGTCAACAATGGAGGAGAGAATGATGATTGGTTGGGAGAAATAAGTCAATCTTTTTAACAAATTCACAAGTTGTGGCCTGTGGGCTGCTTTGCGCCCAGTCATTTTTTATCTGGTGCTTTTTATTTTTATATATTAATTATATATATATAGAAAGCTTATGTTGGTTGTTCGCCTTCATAAGGTCTAATTTTTAAAAGTGGTCCATCTTAATATTTTCTTATATAAAAACCTCATGTAGCATACTACCCAATAGCTCATGTTTGAGCTTGCAATGGTTTAATAAATAAACAACACTCGGCTAAAACTTGACTCAGGGGCGGATCGAGAAAATTTATTTGGGGGACGAAATAATTTTCAGTAATGTCATACTTCATTAAAAAGACAAAGTTGCATTTTTAGAATAAAAAAAAAAGAAAAAAAGTAGTTCAAAAAATACATATCGTTCAAATTTTGTAACTATTAGAATTGTGCTCGACGTTCTCTCAAGTCAGGAAATTCATCGATGATTGACTCGGTAGTAATGGTTCTTGCAAATTCTCTTTCAACAAAGATAGTCAAAGAAATTACAAGAAAGTCATCTTCCACTTTTACTTCGAAGTTTGAATCTAACGATAGTTATAGCCGAAAATGCACGCCCTAATGCAAGCGTAAGCGTCCTGGTCCGGTTTGGAGTAGATCGGTTCTTGTCCTCGCCGGTAGAACGCCGAAAACCTGCAAGTAACTCTCACACCGGGGATTGTGTCCGGTGAAGAGCCTCCGATGCTTAAGTCAGTATGTGTATGAGTATACTGGAGTTGAGTAATGAATAGAATGTGTTAAGGGAGAAAGGCTCACCCCCTTTATATAGGGGTGAGATACCTGCCCTAATAGCTGCCCGGTTAAGGATGAGCTGGCTGCCCAAGCTGCCCGTCCGTACTCTGACACGCCGCGCACATGTCAGAGGTGGCGCGGGGCGTTGAGAGCTGTCAGAGGTGGTTATCGTTATCACCCAATACATTGTCGACACGTGTCCCCCTACACATGGGGTAAATATTCTCCTGAGATTCAGTTAGAGGCTCTTACGCGCGCCTGTGATACACGCGCCCATGACTAGGCCGACTGTTGGTTCCTCGAAGCGATCGACCTGTTGAGGTCGAATAGGTTGCCCGATCATGTATCTGGTCGAGCGATGGGTTGCTCAATCGCTTGTCTGGTCGTGCGATGGACTGGTCGACCACCTGCCTGGTCGACTATCTGAATGATCGATCCTCCCGCTTTTTGTCTTGGCTTTCTCCTAGTTCGATCTTCTCAACCGGCTGAGTAGACTGGTTTATCCTTGAGTACATAATATCCCATATCATCTAGTCCCCCCCACTCTGGTCGAGTCTGAATGACTCGATCTAAGAGTGAATTCGTATCTATCGACCTTCTGGATGGCTCGTCGTCAGATATCGACAAGCTGGTAAGTTTCCCGCTCATGTTTTCAAATAATTTCCCCTTAATCGCTAGAAATAAAGTGGTCCTTTCTGTCGCGCCTGCTTTTCTGCCACGCGTCGCGTCGGCCGCATGTGTCAGGCGCTTTAATGATGACACCTCTTCGCATAACGCGCCCGCCTTGAGTGCCGTGCAAATTAATGCTTCCCACCGTGCGATCTGGCTTTAATCTAACAGTCTTCATCTTCTCACCCCTTAAACTCTCCAAAGTATAAATTCAACACTTGGCAGATTTCAGACTTTTTTTTTTCCACCTTCGCAACTTTCGAATTCCTCTGTACCCAAAATTCTCTCTGTAAAAAACCCTCAATTTCTCGGCAATTTCTCCTGCGTTCTTTCGAACTTCCATTACTCGTTGATCCACGGTTATGAGTAAGTCTCTCCACACTTGAATTTGTATTCTTTATAGTTCTATTTTGTGTATTCTTGGATTTTCAATGTTAGGTACCCTTGATTTGTCTGTTGAATCATTTCGAATTGGCGTGTCTTATGTTGAATTTGTGCTCTGAATACTCTTGTCTGTCTGTTGGAAGTTGCGGATTTTGCTTTTCCTCTGAAAATTTTTGAAATTTCTGTCCTCGTACTTCTCAAATTCTTCTTCTGGTTTTGGGATTACTCTTTCCAAAAACCCTAATCTTCCTTCTTCCCCCTTTCTTCCTTGCGGCGGCTTCTTTTTGATATTGTTCTCTTTGTTTTTATTTTTTCAGACTCTGCGACTTCCTCTGATTCAGTAGAAATACTACCTTCTGCACTCGAAGTCGTTCCTCTCTCTATACTTCGCCCCAGAGACACACTTCCTTCCCGTGTTTTCACAGCTCGAGTTTCTTCCCCCAATTCCGGAGACACCATGGATAATATCCCCCTCCGCCGCCGTCGACCTGCTCTTGGCGCGTTGGACGAGCCAGAGAAGGATGAGGTTATTTCTTCTCAGCCTACTGCTCCTCCATCTTCATCCATCCCGCCTTCTTCCTCCCCACCTAGATCTTCGAATTCTCCATCTAAACGATCCTCGACTAAAAAACTTTCCCAGCGCTCCTCTTCTACCTCCCTTTTCTCACCCCTGGTTTAATCCTGAGAAAATCGGCCAACCTCTTGGTTGGGCATTCCTTAGGTCTTCTTCCTCTGACAAATATGATCGTCCTCCGCGTGATTGTTATACTTTTTTCAAGATCCAGTTCAAGCTCGGTCTTCACTTTCCCCTATGTCCCGAGCTGCTTCGCATTTGCGATTGGTTCTCACTTCCCCTACATCAACTTCCTCCTAACGCTATCCGTTTTATGAATACCTTCATCATTCTCTGTCATGTCCGTTTAGGTCGATTCGACCTGGATTTCTTCCATTATTGCTATACCCCCTCTAAACAAGGTCGAGGCCTTTATTTGAAAAGTCGCAACGGCGTCCATTTTATTAATGATATTCCTTCTAATCTTCCCAAGTGGAGCGACAAATTCATTTTCGTTCGACCTGACGCCCCTTTTTCTTGGCCCTCGATCCCCTGGGTCAAGGAAGTTTCACAAGAGGCGGCTTCGGCCCCTCCTCCGAATCCTCTTTTCGACCAACGGGTCCATACTTGGAACTCCAAGACCGTTGCGTCGGAAATACTACTCAAGGACGAGAATCTTCTCCACTACTGTGGTCTTCTCTCCCATAAAACTTGTCCTCCTCCTACCGATAAGGTCCTCGATCTCATTCGGATTGAGAATGATCCAGGTAATAGTCGAGCAGATTAGTCAAGTGTTTATGTGTTTCTCTGTTTTGGTTCTGAGTGAATTTTGCTGATTATCGGATATGATCCGTGTTGTGATCTTCTTGCAGAGGTGCCCAGTTTCAACATACCTCCGAGGAAGACTCCTCTAAAAAAGAAGTCGGGGGTAGCCTTTGGCTCAACCGGTGGCCAGGTCGAGGGATCGACCACCTCCTCAGGGTCTCGACCAGATCCGCAACCGCGGTCGCCTCCACGAGAGACCCCCTTACCCCCGCCCCCGCCACCGGGGCCACAGCAACCTCAACAACAACAGCAACAACAACCACAACAACAGCAGCAGCAGAAACAACCACATCAACAACAACAGCAGCCCTCCAAGACCCCGCAAGGGCGATCTTCCTTGTTCCCTCCTAAGAAGAACCCCCAGCACAAATCTGACTCCCAATCAACCTCCAAGTCCTCGACCTCCTCGAAAACCATCGACCACCAACACAAATCTGATGATTGCCTAAAAACCACTGACCGCCATCAGAAATCAGACGACCGCTCACAGAAGACAGGTCCTCGAGCTCCTCCTCCCAAAGACAACCTTCAAGGCAAAACTACCGATAAATCCTCCGAGCCCAACACCTCATCCAAAACCAAAATCCCTGACAAAGCTCCTCTTGACCAACATTCCTCCAAAACCACCTCCGCCGGATCGACCAAAGCTCTGGTCGAGTCCGACAAATCTAATGACACGGGACGCGAGTTGGCTCTGGGCAAGTGCTCTCGCACCGAGCTGGGTGAGATGGTCATCAAGCGAGGACGCACTGGATATCTTCCTCCTGACCCTCTCGCCCCAAGGCCGACATCCTTACTATCGGCCTCTATAAATGAGGTTGCTGAACGCCTCGAGGGTTCCCTCCTCGAGGACGACCGCAAGAAGGGGAGCGCCACGTTGCCCGAAGTTGGCGACCAACTTGTGCAATGGCTTGCGCAGATATCATTTACCTTACGTTTGCTTTACTATCTTTCTGCCACTCTTCTTCGACGCACATATTAAACTGTTTCGTGCTCTTCGATTGTAGGGCTTGGTTCAATTCTTGCCTCTGGCTAAGGAGGCCCGAGACAGCTCGGGGAAGTCGATAAAAAGCTTGGAGAGCAATATCTGCTACATGCAGGATAAAAATTTGACTCTCCTGACTCATAACACCAAGCTCCGCGAGACGCAAAACGAGAAAAAATCCGAGTTCGAGGCCAAGATCAAGTCACTTGATGTGGAGCTCTCGGACAAAAATAAGGCTCTCGCGGAGAGAGAAGCCGCCATCGCGGTAAAGGAGATGGCTGTGGCGAAAAAAGAGACCGCCTTGAAGGAGAGGGAGGCTGTCCTCGAGCAGGAGAAGGCTGCTCGAGCCCAAGCAGAAGCTGCTCGAGCCCAGGCAGAGAGTGCTCGAGCGGAGGCGGAGGCCGCTCGAGCTGCGATGGAGGCCACCTTGGCCAAAGAAAGGGCTGCCCACACCCAACAATGCAAATGCTATGCTGATTCCGCTGCTCTTCGAGCTCGGCAAATGATGTGGGGCACCACTACTGGACAACTCTTCCTTCGAGAGTACCGCGATCAAGTGGTGGCCGATTACACA